TTTATGACTATTTATGTTACAAACTAGCTACACATAAACATTGTTTACGGGTATATTTTGAAAGCCTGTGACCTCCATTTATGAAAAATAACACTTTGCACTTGCCCCATGTGTTCTCATTTTACAGCCAAAGCATGTAAAAGAGCCTTATTTTAAAAAAAAAATACCAATGCAGTGAAATCACACAGCTTGCAGAAATCTATTCCAAGCCGCGAGGTTAATTTTGTGTATTCAGGGTTGACAATATGCTGCATGCTCTGAGATATGGCCTCAAATGCAGCCCTTTTATCTACATCATTTTTTAAGGGATGCCAAGGTGGCTGGCACCAAAGAGGGCTGTAGGGGATCGAAGCAACAGCTGTCCTCACTAAAATAAATGTTCCATACACAGGCGCATCTTTGACATTGGGACAAACAGTCTACAATTCATCATGAGAACATATCACCAAGAATCACAGCAGTTGTTGTGAAGCCTCTGGCAAAAAAAAGAAAAAAAAAAGCTTTAATTTTGTATTTCCCCACAGTGATAAGAGGACGGGAGTATGGCGATATTGTTGGTCAACAGATCTATAAAGTCCATGCACACACCTGCCTATCACTAGATCCATAAAGTCTTATTAAAGGCTGTGGTGGAGCGAGGCTGATAAAAGGCCAGGGTCACCGCTGTAATATCTGTCTGCAATGCTTGAGGCTTTCCCTGGGCTTCACGCTCACCGTCAAATGGCACACAGACATCAAAGCAAAGCATTCCAGCGTTAATCCAGGAAAAACAAACTGTCTGCAACATAATTTTGCTTGTGTTTTTCCAGAAAAAAAACAGGCATGGCCAATGCCCCACCAATTGCAATAAACAAACCAAGTGTTTTAATGTGTTCTCACCTTTCCAGAACCTAAAGTACGTAATCAATCTGGAAGGATCACACTCTTCCTCAGTACCTGAGCAGGTCCCGGCTGGATGGAGCTGTAGTGAACAAATCGGTTTTACCCAAAATTAATGGGACTCTGACTTTGCCAAGAAAATCTGTTTATAAAAATAATGAACAGATCTAGTGACAGAAGACAGCTAATCTCTGAAACAAAGAAAGCAATAGTAATTCTTTTTTTATGAGCGCACAAAATAAACGTTTAGGCTTAATTAATCATGCAAATTATTCACTACAGAATGAAAAAAAGGCAATGAAGAACAACTATTAAGTAATCAAGCACAGTTGAAAAACGGTGTGAAAATTGTTAGCAATTCTAAAAACACTGAAAAAGTAGTCAATGAGTCATAATTAGATGAAACTATGTCACGGATGAAATATGAATCGCTTTCAACAAAAACAAACCCCTGTGGTGGTGGTCCTCCAGGTAGAGCTGATTAAATTACAGCCACCTCATGGTTGACTAGAGTGACTCACAACTAGGTCGAGCGCCCCATCAGAAACACATAAAACAGTGTGACACTGTTACATTGTGACTTGGAAGGGTACTCCATCACTGCACGTCCAAAGATTAATGGTGGAGAATGTCAGGGGGAATAAGGTCATGCACTGAGAGAGAGACCTGGAGTTAGAAAGGCCACCACTATGTTTGCTGTCTGCTGTTTAGCTCCGTCCAGAAATCCAACAGTACTTTACAGAAAGAAACTGACATTAAATGTTACACGTGGCAGTATTAAAAAGATTAAACCATCTGTCTAATCGGTAAGGAAATATTTTATCATTTGGACTTCCAAAACACTGCCAAATGTCATGGAATGTTAACCAAAACCAATTGGAACCATTGGAAATAAAAATCAGCCTTAATGAATCCATGTCTTAAAATGTAAAGCGTTCCATGGAGCAAAGCGAAAAGACTTAACATATATCTAGACTTTTTCAGAAATGAAGCTGGACTATGCCCTTCTACAAAGTTCATTCAACCAAAGAACTCGGTTTCAAAATATTTGCAAAGAGATAAGAACTAGATTTATAATATTAATGCTGCTAAATCAATATCCTCACGACTGCATGATAAGATGAAGCAATATTCATTTAATCCTTTGTTCAATTTAAATATTTATCAGCAAACACAAACAGAAGCTCAACCATTCTGGCTTGACACATTAAACAAAAGAATATTTGAAAGCTGGTACGTGCCATCCAATAATGAAATGTATTGACTGTTGCACATCACACATGGATGGACAAGCTTTAATGGGCAAATAGAAAAGATAGAAAACACTCCTCACTTATCAGTGCCTAAAAGTTGATTAAAAAAAAAAAACTTTAATAAAATGTCTTATTACAAATTCTTTGATCAACATACTTTCAAATCAATTTCTCTTGCTAATTTCTTTCATGCAAATCAACTAAGCTAATCACAAGAAGCACTAAAAATGCTAAATACAAATGATTTAATCATAGCGCACTATGCTTCGGACTTAAATTATTAACAATTATAATTATAGAATTAAATTATAAAAAAAAAGCATTTGACTTTCTTGGTTTTCTCTCAAATAACAAGAAAGCAAACTGTGCACATTCTACTTGCAAATAGTTCACATCTTATAGATACAATAATTTATTTTTTTGTATCTCAGGTGGTCAAATCATGCTCTACATTCATTGACATTTTACAGCATCCCACCAATACCACATACCCAATCTACAAGAATCAATGAAGTTAGCCCAAAGGGTGGGAGGGGGGTAACCTTTTTTACATTTTATGTGGGGTGAAATCTGAAATCGACTATACATAGTATATAAATAATAGCTTCATTCTAAGTTTAAAAAGCAGTGGGGTTTTGGGTTAAATGATGGAAACAATGTCCTTTAATGATATATTAAAACCGATAAAAATCAGTTCTTAGCCCACATGGTTTGAGATGACCTCAAAGAATGAGTTTAGTCACATCGGGGGCCGTATGATATCACAAGCAGAACCACACGCTACGTGTAGAGCACAGCATCTGAACCTCATTAACAGCGTTAGTGGTCCCATCAAAAAGCAATATGCCATTAGACGCACTACACTGAGCTTCCATTTGTGGACACTGTCAAGATCTACAATAATAAACCCACACATGACCATTACAGTTTCAATCAAGTATTTTTCTTTAGCATATGATGAATTGGTATTGCAGATATAATCAAAATAACATTTATTGTGGGGAAATAACTCATTCATGAACAGATTTTTTGTAACTTTCCACTGTTCATGGATGCATGTAAATTTGCTATATCCATTATGTTTGACATCATAAAAACGTTGTTGATTTGAATAACTTTTTTTGGGGTGGGCAACTTACTCAACTACCATTGACGAGTCTCTCTAATTGGACAGAGTTAGCTCTTATAATAAAACATTGGTAAATGAAACAATTTGAAAGTGGTTGCCATGGCAGGAGCCATTTAATGGTAGATGAGGTTACGCTACATTCCATGAGCAAAGCTTTCTCTTTAGCTGCCTGCCATTCAGCCACACCATAACATGGATTAATCAAATACCTAGTTCAGCCAGTCAAAGGGAGAGAGTAACAGAGTTGTGCATCCAATATTTCAGATGAATAAACAAAAACAGCATAAAGAATGTATTACTAATAATAATAATAAAAAAAATCAATGCAAATAAAAAAACAACACAGCATAGCTACAAATGTTATACCACCCTTAAAATGCTGCATATCCCCAGCCTATTGCCAATGCTATGTAATGGGGATGGGTAACTGATCAGCAATTTCTTACACTATGTTTAAAAGTGCACACAGCATCACAAAAGGTGTTTAGTTGTGAATACACAGCAGTCTGTGTTCTTTTAATGTAGAAAAAAGTGTGTCAAGTGGATTTGTGACTATGCTGCCAACAGGAATAGATATATTTGTGATTGTTGAGTGAATCTACTTTTATGGTGGACCAGCTAGACTCATCCTTGTATTCAAAGCAGGTATAGAAGATGAATGAAAGATTCTACATTGAATGAAAACGGGTGATATTAGCTGTGAATATGTCACACTTTTAAAATGTATCACTTGTAAATAGCTGCATCATTTTATCATAGAGGAGCAGTGATGGATGAGGACTTGATCGGTGCGTACTGTTGTATTAATGTGCAGCAGGAGTGAAGGTGAAGATTCACATCAGGAGTGAAGCAGTCTGCTGATTCCCACATTTCCACAGAGCCAAACCCAACTGACTGATGATCCCACAGATGCATTCTGCTTATGCTGCAAAACTGCACCATAAATAAATGAGCAAAGAGTAGAAAAATGACCTGTGATTCCTCCCGAACACCACCCCTGTTTAATGTGTATAGATATTTAATAGCATATTCAGCATATATCCAGCAATTGAATTTGTGTCTTTTATCAGTTCTTTTGAAAACCCACAGACCTCAACAAATGATTTGCTGCTTGCTCTGAAAAAACACAAACAGACTCAACAAATCACAAAGAGAGAAGGGATAAAAGATTCAAAAGCTTTCTCTACACATCTATGAAATACTGTAATTACTTTAACAGTAATAGAACACCATGATCAGCGGTGTGTCGATAGCGCGATGATCATCTACACTCACGTTTTTAAACCAGTCAAAGTGCTCCGTCTTTGTCTCTACTCAGAAACACAGTGTCCGGTAGTAAATAAAAGCAGTAACTCTATGTAGAGTCTATTAGACCGTGCACATGGGCATCTGGACTCTGAAAGATTTATCTTTAAAAGTATGCGTTCGTCCAATATATGATAGCAGCTAAAAGAAATGGTAACAAATGTGTCAGAGAGAAAGATTACTTTTTATTTTAAGCAATAAACCGATTTATTGGAGCCTTCTGTAAAATGTGGCAAAGCTTGAGCTATATTCACAAACAACTGAGGAAGAGGCGATATTACAATTTAATGTAAACTGCAGAGGGTTTATTTATTCTGATGCTCTCTTTAAATGCACATTTGTCAACCTATATTTTTATGTACATAAAAAAAAAACATTTATTGATTAATCACAGTCAGTTTAAGTCTAAAAAAAACAAAGCAATAGTAGATATATTTCCTGTGGTTCAGTTAGTATAACAATCTGCTAGCAGCGCAAAGGTCGTGGGTTCAAACCCCCAGGAATGCAAGAACGGATTAAATGTGTCCGTTGTTTTACATTGTAAATACCAACTGCATCCAAATGTATTTTAATTCCAAAATAGCAAAAACCTAAGCATTAAATCTCAAAAGAAAATTGACTAAAAACAGAGATTTAAATGTTGATGTAAATTAAGTGTCTGCTGGTAAAATCTGTTACGCCAACAAGATTCAGGCAAAACAAATATCGAAAAAGCAGAAACTTCACAGTAACCAAATTCTGTTTGTGGTGTTTGAACATTTTCTTTTAGGAAATAAAATTCGCTGTCGTACACGTTACACAAATGAAGTGAATAGATGGACAATCACACGTCAGCAATACTGCCAGAAAACAATAGATGAACTTAGATCTTAAAGAAGCTTTAGAAGCATGCACGATGCAAACTCACACAGAGCAAAATGTGAACGGAATATAAATTCAATGCTTTCCGAGGGGTCAACTCAGTGTCAAGTCGTGAGTCATTAGGATTCAAGACTTTTACTATAATTTCAAGTCAGGTCCACACCTCTGATAAATTATGTGCCAACAATGCATCAACTTTTAAAAACATTACCATAATAGGAAACCTCATTATAAGAAAGAATAAAAGGATAGAAAACAAACACTTTATTTTGCATTCATTCACTGTTACTGTGAACCTTCATTAAAGATCTTATGACAAAGTGACGAAGAGTCTTTATTAAACATAACTCAATATGCGCAACATAAAAGCCCACGGTGGGGAAAACCTCTCAAGTAAACTTAAAATGATTATTCAATAAACTAGATTCTTCTGAGTGTAGTACTCTCAAAAACGGCCAATAACAAATTGGTCACAAAAAGTTGCATGCAGGATGTCAAAAATAATAAAACAAGGAGCTGTGTATCAGCAAAAGCACACATTCATCTGTATCTCAATTCAACTTTTTTTTTAAAAAGAAGGAAGAATTCAACACACCACAGATTCAACCCTATGATTTAAAAAAGAAGCAAGTACTGTATTTGGTAAAATATATCCAGAGCTCTTTGAAATGAGGTGCAACATAGTGATGCAACAAGAACAAATCCACTGTGGTTTACAAATCTGGAAGCTGCCGTTGACAGCTGCTGTAGAGGCAGTGATATATGGCACGCTACAGAGGTATATTGGAAAGGTATATCAAACACTCGGTTTCACACCTTTATTTGGCTTGGTGTATTGGCAAGCATGTTGGAGTCCAAAGCTGCCAATCCCCCCCCCCCACACACCACTCTCTGGAGATTGTCTATCATGTCTTCATGTTACAGACTAAAACCTTTGTTTATGATGATTATAATGATACAAGGGATGTGGGGTTGTTTTGATATTTTTTAGCTCAATTTTGTATCTACAATTTAAATGCATATCAGACGAGCAAAACTGGAACCATACTTGAAATTGAGAATATTCCGATCTTTTAGATAGGTAGCCTTTATTTGTCACATACACTGTTACATGTAGCGCAATGGGACCCCTCTGGCCACAGACATAAACAGGGTGGGGACAGGCCAGTGTTGAGAGGTAGCATATTTAGAGAGAAACAGAGAAAATGGATATACATTAGGTAAATTAGCTTTAAAAAAAGAGCCTTTCCGCATTGTCCTTCAAAAAAAAGAGCACTGTAGAGCAGGTTAAAAGAAGAGTGATCTTTGTACATTTTAAAATAAATGGTGCAAAACATTCCGTTGTGTAATTCAGTGGCTATTCAAATTGTGGTGTAATATTGTGTACAAACTTATAATAAAGTGTTTTAAAGAAATCAAATCGCTCGCTCTCTCTTGCATTAGAGGATTTGGGAATACTGTAATTTAGATTTGATCAAAGAGGAGCGTCTAAAGCCAAACTCTCTGCAGTCAGCACAAATAAGAAGTCTGATAACGTAGCACTGAGGGAAGTTCGGCTGAATATGTGAAAAACACAATACAGCAGCATAAAATAATGTTTTTAAAATCATTCAAATTAGGCATCTTTCACAAGCAGTCTATTCATCATGTTTAGTGATCTTGACTAGAGGAAGAGAATCAAAGTCACAAACATACTAAACAAATATCATTTTAACATTGAATGTAAATTATAATATAAATTACACTTAGTCTTCAATAAACACTTTCAAAGGGCCATGCGCTGATTAACAATCAAAAACTAGTTATTTGCATTTGAGGTTGAAAAGTTCAGAAAACTGCTTTATTACCTGACAAAACAAACAAACGGAACTAATGCCAACGCTTTAGATCTAGGTCTCAACGCGATGTACATTTGTTGTGACCAGCGGATAATTTTACATGTTGCTAGCTTTGTCAATTAATGTTCTCTTATATCATTTCATCTCATATGGTGGTTGTATATGTCTGCAAGGTGTTTGGCAATGTCGGAAAAGCTTCAGAATACTCAGACTTAAAGAATGAATGAAAAATGAAAAAGCTCACAGAAAATTTGTACACAAACCATCTCTACACCAGTAAGGATTTGGCAAAATTTAGTAAGTCATTTACTTTACATTTATGCATTTTGCAACTTTATCCAAAGCGACGGTTCTTTCGCAATGCCCCTCTACATTACAAATATTATTAGAAATTATCGACGGCACCAAGATTTTTCTAAACCAGTGCAAATGGGTTCTATACCTAGCTGCCATTTAATCTCTTATCAGATAATTTCCACTAGAACCATAAATATTTCCATGCTGGAGATTAAAGTGTTTTTTTTGTGGGGGGGGGGGTTGTTTTTTAATTTTTTTGCAGAATCTGACCATTTGCAAAAAAGCATTGAAAATGCTAATAATGTAGTCATGACTATAAAATTAATACTATTAAATGATTTTATCGTTTTATTTTTTTGTCTATTTTGTAACTTTTTTCCCTATATTTCAAAAAGTTTATTTATAGTAGTTTCACATACTGTGTGCAGTTTATCTGCAATTAATAACTAAAGCTAAATAACGAAATGCAATAAATAAAGGGGAAAAAGTTCATTTCACTAAATCATTGAGTAAGTTCTTAAAGAAATGTCTTGAGAACAGGTCAAATAAAACAACAATACTACAAAATTGTTCTCTGTTGGCGTTTATGCAAGGGTTTTCTAGGTCTGCTTTGGGGGTTGCCTTCAGGCCGTGACCAATCTGCTCTGGACCTTTAAACACAAAGCAGTCCATGTCGTTCCATTGCAAGGCTTTTTGAAACTGAAATACACAGCATGTCTACCTGACTCTTCCATCAGGTTGCCTGCTCCTGTGAGAATCAAAAGAAAGCATGGACCGCTATGAAAGCTTAAAATACACCCTGATGCTGAATAAGCTGCAGAAAGTCGAGAAAAGATCACACACACTCATCATTTCCATTTGAGACACTGGCAGCATAGAGAAAATGACATCGGTACATGAAACGGCTGAACCTGTGCCCAGACTAAATCTAGTCAGAATAGTAATGCTGCTGCTGCTGCTTCTTCTTGTTTTCAGTCTCGTTTCTATGGCTTTTGGTCATGTTGAGCAGAACTAAAGATTGCACGCATGGAAGACGGCTCCCCTGCTGTTTTCCTCTGATTGAAACGTGCCACTAAGCTTCAGCTCTCCTGTCTTCTGGGACATTTTTCACCTCTAGCTAAAGCTCGACAGTTGTAATTTCCCAAATGGAAAGCTGTGAAACTTGGAGTCGTGGATTGCACTATTTGAAGATAAACATCAAACTAAGCACTGCACAAAAGTTTTAGGCAGGTGTGGGAAATAGTCTGTAAACAAAGAATGCGTTCTTTAATAATGACTGTTTATTTTTGTACAATTTGATGTGTTGATGCCTTTTTTCTTCAAACCAGCATCAGTGAAAATAACATTAAGAGCACTTATGGATTAACCCATACTAGGATTATGTGCTCTGCATTTAACCCATTCAAGCGCAACCCTTACCTGTGAACAAACACCTGGAGCAGTGGGCAGCCATTGCTCCGGCGCTTGGGAAACCACAGAAGGTAAAGAGTGAGGTCTGATCACTCACCCCGCCTTCAACTCCCAATGGAGATTGAACCAGTAACCTTCTGATAACCCGTCAATCCACTTATCCACAAGGCCACAACCAGTTCTTATAAATACACTTGCACAAATTCAAGTATTTTCTGGGATTATAGTTGGGTGTATGATCCACAAGTGTTTGAACTAAAACAGACTGATACGGCCATGTCAGTGTCTTCACATGGCAAGATTGCACACAGCATGAAAGCATACACCCACAAAAGGTCTGTAGGTAGATCTCCAAGATGTTTGGAACAACCTACCAACCATGGGGGAACAAAAAAGCTAAATAATATCCATGATGTGTTCACTCATTAGTCCTTTAGACAACTTCCCAAGATGCTTTTCAAAACTAATGAGGAGCATCACAAAATAACTCTCCATTATCAGTAATTTTTAATGGCTACTAATAAATCAATGAGTTAGATATATTTTTTATCCATGAAAGATACTACAAATGGGAAACAAGTCGTCGATTTTTGTGATTTTTAAAGAAAAATATTTTTAAACCATTTTACAACCTCCACGACCATTTTTTTTCCTTTTTTTTTCAAATAAAGTTTGATATCCCTTGTGAATTGATCAATTTCACTGCCCCTTTCCTGTTTAAGCCACTAAATCAAAAGCCCATCAAATTAATATTTTCTTATGGCGTGTGTTTGGTGGTGGGCAAGAGGCACGAAATGGCAGCCAGGTTTCGTCACCACCAGCGTGTGAATGTGGAGTGAATGGATTGTAAAGCGTCTGGAAAAGTGTTTTTTTTTAATTATTATTATTATTATTATTATAAAGATTACATTGAGTTTATTAAGTTTATAAATAATTTTCCAACAATCATTTAACTCCTGGATTTAATACAAACAAAATAGTTTCAGTATTTATTGCACATAGTTCTATTTCACCATCAGCAAATTAATTGCTGAATGTTTTCTTTTTACTCTGTTTTTGAAAAGGTAACTACCGGAATTCTACTAGGCCTTTGTAGCCA